GTGCCAGATTCTCTTACTTTTGTGTCAGCCATTTCAGAGGGATGCTTAGCTGTTTATTTTGTGTGCTATCTGATAACGCTCTGAAGATGGGGCTTGCAAAACTGAGATATTAAGAAAAAAATCTTGGAAGTTGTGATGTTTTCTGTATCTGAAATCTTGTAGCTTTTTATAAGCATTCCCTAGTGAATCCTGAAAACCTTCCTGCAAATGAGTGGTGGAAGGTCATATAAATGGATGATTCACCTGGGATAGCGAGCAGTTGGTTTGAGTGAGTAGAGGGCTGTCTGAATGGAACGATTAACCAAGGAAGTCTGGGATAACAAAGTGGTGGAGGACTTCTTTGATATGGTTAAATTGCTATAGCTTCTGAAATAAACTGGATGGAATTGTACTGTATCAATGCAGGGAGGCGAGGAGGATGCATTTCGTGCAAGGTTGTTCAGGTGCCTACATCCCAAGAGAGGCTAACTTAATAGCTTCTGTGGGATTTTCAGGATTTTGGATGGAAAGCGCTATCTGTATAAGTGCAAGTTACAAGTCAAATAAATTACTGTTCTAGTGTTGGTGGTTGATTACACATATGGTATTTCAAGCTTTTAAAAGGTACGTATGCATACTGTTGCAACAATTGCTACTATCCTAGATTGTAAATATACAATTTGAAACTGGTTATTTGGAAAAGGCAACTCATACTTGAAATAAACAGATGTAATTCTTCTTGATTCTACAGATATACATGAGGTTGTTACATAAAACTGTTTGTTGCTATTTTCTTACTAAAAAAGAAAAAGACCACAAGACATTAGTGCATTTTACATCCATGAAACTTCTGCTTCTCTTGAGACTGCTGCTGCAAGACATTTGGTTTGTCACGTTACAGATAGCGAAAATACACAGCAGAAAACTTCAGACTGATACTACTTATATAGATACCTGTGTAGCCTTGCTATTTAGCATAGTTTCCTGTGATGACAGCATCATTAGGGCAAATCACTATATTCAGTAAATACTTGGTTAGCACTAGCATTTTTGAAAGACTGTACTCTTGACCATATCTGCTTCTCTGCTCTAATGCTAGAGTGATATTAAGGCTTCATAATACATCTAATATATGAGTTAACTCTTTGTCACTATTTCATTGTACTTTGCTTTAGAATTTAGAATTATTTGCTCTAAAACTTTATTTAATGCATATAACACAAAAATATCTCTAAACATCTGCCTTTCTAGTGATTTTTTCACTCTTTAGTTGATTTCATTATCCTCCTTCTCTTTGTTACTCGATTACTTTGTTACTCAATTTAGTTGGGGTTAAGTTTACATCAAGTGGACACCTGGTAAAGAGATGCTGGCTGTACTGAGCTGGAATTCTTACTTTTGTTGGCATTTTTATGCTAAAAAGAGCTGTGCAGAAGTTCTCAAAAGAGGCCAGGACTCATATGGAGCTGTAACTGACAGCAAGCGTAGGGAAGGCCAATAGTGGTGCTTCGTATACACAAAAAAATCTTTTGGAACTTGTGACCTGAGAAGTCATGAATTTATTTCAATGCTGTTTTTGTGGATACTTTGTAATGAATGACCAAAACTTATGACAGTAACAGAAATTCTCAAAGATTTCAGTTAAATTTGTGTAAGTTAAACAATGTTAACTTTAGTTAACAAGGAAAAAAATCAGGAGAACTGCTTGGTTTGGAATTTGCACGCTCAGCTCTGGTTCAGAGCATTCAAGCTGTGAGTTGTTACATTTGTCTGTCTTCTGGTGGGAATGTGGACACAGCTCTGCTGTAATTACATTCATTCAGTACACTTGGAGAGGAACTGATGCTGATAAAATTATGATTTCAAATTAGTCCAGATTCTTATCCTGTGTCTTTGACGCTTACTATAAATTAAGCAATAGATTTTCAGCTTAAAAGAAGAAATCTATTTTGTCAAGCTCATTTGACTTTATCAAATGCTGTTGCAAAGTGATTAAGAGTGCAATTTGCGATGGATGAAGAATGATGTGGTAAAGCTCATTTTACAAAGAGTGTTGCAGGTAGAAATTTGACTCTTGGAATTACAGGCTTTGCTTCAGGTGGTTACTGTGGGTACGGGATAAACCAGGAGGAAGCGACTCCTTGCGTGGTTACAAGACACAAGCGTTTGAGAGGATGCGGATGCTCTTTGTTAACATCTGCGTTCTGGGCCACCCTTAGGACACCGTTGCTGTCACTTAGCCCTCAGTTCATGTGTTTCTGCATGTGGTTGTGAGATGCTCTTGAGCAGGTGATCTGTTCTGTGAACTCTTGTACTCCATAGATTTAGTTTTTTAATTCAAGGAATTGCCTGATCTGTTCACAACTAGGTAGTACTTGTGCTAAACGGATTTAGTTCTGAAGAGGACGGTCTGAGTAACCTTTTCTCAGTTCTGTTTTAAAAGCCTCTGATACTTGAGTTCTCACAGCAAGGTTTTGGTGACAGTTGAAGTGATCTGCTTTTAGCAGTTTGCTGGCCTTCGTGTTCTCTGGGGATGTAGACCACAGGGAGCTGTGCTTGTCACTTAAAGAGTTTCTTCAGAAGACTTTCTTCTGCAGAAATCAAGATGACCTGCCTGACTCTGATCATTACATGCTCTGACCTCAGTCTGATTTTTAACCACCTAAAGACCAGCATCTTCTCCAATCTAGATTGAAATCATGGGTCAATATAACTGAGAAATACTTTGGTCTTTGAATTCCTTCCATTGAATGCAGAATTCTAGCTATACTGATCGGCAAGCTTAATTTGAGACTAGTACGTAGAGTTTATTTTATAACCTGCTGGAGTAAAGAGGTACTGCTCTCTTGTCATGGTTTTGCAGTTGGAAAAAAAAGTGTCAAGTCCATGGGTGGTGCCTATAATGGGGGATACTGGAGGTGAACAGTTTTGCAGCTGAAACACAGTGTACTAGCTTTCAGATGTAATTCTTCTGGGACTATCTTTTTTGGAAACCTTGTCTACATTGCCTTGACATACTGCAGACATGGGACAAAATAAAGACCTACTTGTAAATTTGTAGAGATGATGTGAAAACAGAATTTAGGAAGATAAGGGAAGATACAGAAAAGGAAGAAAGAAAAAATAATTTCACACTTTAATTATAAATGGCTCGTAGAAAAGCTGGAACTATTTCCAACTTTTTTCCCCTCTTGGTCTCACCACTGAGATGGAGAGGAACATCTTCTGGTGTAAGCGGAACACAAATTCTGTGACTAGGAAGTGATCCGCTGTAGGAAGGGTTTTTATGGTATGAAGTATTGGACAGTAACTCAACAATTCATTTCCTTGCTTCATCCAAAAAAAAACCCCGCCCGAAATACACAGACCCAAACCCACAACTCTTTGAAATCTCAGCCTGTCCCCTGCCTACTTCAGGCTACAATTTCTTGCCCGTAAAATGAAGAAATTAGTGTTTTACAGAAATGCTGGTGTAATCTAGTGTTGCTGAGTATGACTGTGCTTGTAGCCCAAAGCAGCAAGTCCAGACCTGCATGACTGCAACAAGCAGTGCAGAATTTGGGGAATGGTCTAAGTGCATTTAAAGCTTGGTTTGCCAGCAAGGGTGCTTTGATCCTAGCAAAACATTAGTTATCTGAATGAAATTAATAAAGGTGGGTACTGTACACCCCTCTCATTAGAACAAGCTGTTATTATACTACTGCCACATTTAAAATCAGATGCACAACCGTATAATTCTGGCGTATATCATTGAAGTGCTATAGATTTGAAATGCTTGGCCTTTTTCCAGCTTGGTGGATGCAGCTACTGAGACTCTTCCTGTGCACTTCTGATAGTCCTAAGGTAGTCCTGCTAAATAGCTGCTAAGTTTATTTCTTTTAAATTAATCTTTGAGTTAGCTCTCAGTAGTAAGAGAATTCCTGAGTACAGGTTGGGTTTCAAACGATTAATGAAGGGTTTCATTTTTCTTTCAGGAGGAAAGATGTTTTATTGCTATGAACGATGCCAATGCATCCTTACGCGCTGTCTTTGTGGAGCATAAGAACTAGAAAATGTTTGTCTGGAACAACTTTTAGATTTTACAAGACATGAAGCAGGGTATTAGCTGTATTTTGAAGCAAGTCTTAAAACTCTGAGACTTTGGAATTTTTCAGTAGAAATATAAAAAGGTTCATGGAGAATCATTCATAGAATAGCTGGTGTTCATCTTCTGTCTTTTGAATAACAGTTACCTATGTGAATATAAAAGGAGAAAATAATGACTATCCTCTAAATATTTGTTTGGCTTTGCAAGTAACCTCTTTGCCTTCTAGCAAGCTGTGTGTGAATTTTCTGATTTCTAAGGTCATTATCGTTAATCAGGCACTTCTGTCCCATCCTTGCTGTAATTTTATTCTGAGGCACTGCTTTTGTTGTGGTTATTGCCAAGACTGTTTTTAATACAACAGACCTTATTTTACAGCAACCTTGTAGAGTCCTGTTGTCAAAAGCAAACAAAAATAATTACTCAGTTTCTGTCATGTCAAATGTAATTTGAGAAAGCCCAGTCCTTCCCTGAGGTAAATCTAATTTAATTTACTGCATTTCATCTATGATTGGTTGCCTTGGTTTTCTTCACAATTAGAAAAGAAAATATGTTAGCGCTAGGTTCTTAATAGCAAGCTAACCACAAAAGATCTGGTTAGTTTCCTGTCTTGTTTTGATCTGGTTCATAGGTTGTAACCTGGTCACTTTTATTCACGAAATTCAGAATAGTCTTTATATGAGTTCCTTTTGTTTTTCTAGCAAAATGTCTCCTCAAATCAAAGTTAATTTTTAGGCAGTTAATTCCCTTATTTATCATCATAAAGCATCTAGTTTCTATTTTTAGATCACACTCAGAATAAATTATGTGTTATGCAAATGAAATGGTGGTTCTTTCTAAGCGTAAGCTGTTTTTTTTAATTTATCCTGGTTTTATGTTCTTTCTTGGAGGTACAGAAGTTAATTTCCATTATTTTAAAATCTTTTTTTTTTTAAAGATTGCGTATATATTGAAAGTCGCCGGCCGAATACCCCGTATTTCATCTGCAGCATTCAAGACTTCAAACTGGTAAGGAAAATTTTCACATCTCCTCCTTTTCCCTGCCCCATTCTCCAGTGAGATGGCAATATTTCTTAGTCTCTGTCTCTTCCTGTAGCTCCTTGCTCTTTCTGAGTAAATCTTTAGCTTCTGAAATAGTAGTTCTTTTGCTATTAAGGCAATGATCTGTCTTTAGTATACATTTAGTTACCTGGGCCATAGAGTTCAGATTGTGGTCTATGTCATTTTAAGGTTTTGTAACCCACAGAAACATTAACTTTGAGTTGAGTGTGTTTGGGAAATTGTGACTCAGGAAGTTAAGTTTTTCCTGGGAAGTTAAATTTGGCTGTGCCTTTACCTCTAGCTTTATATAGCACAGTCGTGTAAATGAAAGGAGTGGGCTGACTTGCGGTAGCCTGTTTATCTAAGCTGATCGGTGGACTGACAGTTGGGGATGCAAAGAGGGACTAGACCAATATGACAAGTTTGATTTGGAAAAGTACAACATTTAAGAATGCTTTAGCACTTTAGTCTTTAAAATGAAAAGTCGAGGACCTGTGCAAGAACAAATTAGTTGTTGTTGTGGTTTGCCCCTTTTAATCTGAATTTGTACACATAAAAGATTAAACATGTTCCTTCCCGGTACGCTGTAGCTGCGCAGAAAACCACTTAGTGCTTAGGCAGTGCAGAGCAGGAATCTGCTACCTGTTTGACAGAGAGCATCTGTGCTTGTTTGGGACTTTGCAGTGCTTTGGGTAGCATAAGCAGGATATTTGGAAAAGGTAGCTGTTACTGCTGATCTTCTTGCTGTTGTTGGTTTATGAGAGTTCTGAATATGTAATAAATAGTCCTTCCTATCAATGCATAGTCTACAGATGTAGATCACCCACTATCTCTTGCAATCAGAATCTTCCTTTTCCAGACTTTCTTACTCAAGTCTTCCATTTTACTCCTTACACGTTTATTTTGTGAGACCACAGTGAAGGAGAATGTGTAGACTTTCTTCAATATCGATGTCCATGGCAGTGTTTGGCACTTGTGAGCTCATGCGCGCTCTCTCTTCCACCCTCCATCCCACCCCCCCTTTTTTTTTTGAGAGGAGTTGTTGGGTTTGTAGTTAACAGGTTCCAGCAATGGGTTAAGTCACAGTTGTACTACTCTTGCACATTAGCAGGTGCTTTTGTGTCTGACTGGAATTACAATGTGATAGTTGCCATTCCGGGCAATAAGTTCCT